ATAATTTTATGGTTGGGGGGTCACCACCACATGAGGAACTGTATGAAAGGGTGGCGACATTAGGAAGGTGGAGAACCGCTGCCCTAAAGTCAGCACCCCACTGCAAGTCCTAAAGTCAAAGGTGCTTTATAGGGAGCCTGCTATTGAGCCTCACACAGGACCGGAACAAGTCAAAGGAAAAGCCTCGGGATGTAGGAGACCGGGAGCATGAGGCCACAATGTGTCCCCAGCCAGATGGCTTGTTTGCTTCTGTCTCCTCTTTCTCCTAAGAGGTAAGTAACAAAGGGCGCTGCGTTGGGTCAATCTGTCGGGTCAAGTGCTGAAAAGCAAGCCGGTTCCTTTGAGAACTAAGGTGCGCTTGACCCACGCACGCACGCAGTGCCGTCTGCCTCACCTCACAGACCTGTGAAAGGTGGACACTGAATAAGGAAGACAGGAGAATTGGTGCAATGGAACTGGGGTGCTGACAACGAATACAGAGTGCGCCCCCGGGCTGCCAAAAGAGCAAGCCCATCTGTCCTGGAAGAAGCACAGCCGGATGCTCCTGAGAGGGGTGGATGGCGAGACTGTGGTCAGGGGAGGCCGGTCCCTCAAGAAGGCCCCGGTGCCTGACCGAGGAGAAAGGCAGCCAAACGAGCTGGATGGACACAGTGGCTGCGGGCATGGGCTCGGGCATAAGAACCATCGTGAGGATGGCATGGGACCGGGCAGTGTTTCGTCCTGTTGGGCACTCGGTCATGATGAGTCAGGGCGGGCTCCACGGCATCTAACAGCAAGATGTGAAAGGCGCTTAAATGTAAGCTGTTCCCCCTCCTGGACTCTCTCACGCGGCCGCTCTGCCCTGGGTTGGGTGTTCAGAGCCCTAAGAGCTTCTCAAAGAGCCCGCCGGCCCTGAGGCTTGGCTGGAGAGCAGAGAGGCACAGAATGAGAAGAAGGTGGCCTCTGGACCAACCCCCCTTCCTGCCCATCCCCAGGCCGCCGCCCGGCTCCCGCACCCCTTTGCTACCCCATTTGGAGGTCTTGGGGAGGAGGCGGGGGTTGAAGAGCCCACTGGTCACGTTGTCGGAGGTAAACACGAAGATATTGCCCTTGGTATCCCCGCAGCAGAACACAGCTTTCTGATAGTCAGACCTGGGGGGAAGATGCAGATGGACAGGCTGGGGTCCTGGCCAGGGCACCCCACTCACTGCCCTCTCCCCGCCTCCCCAACCTCAGAGGAGCCGACAAACATGGGGGGGCTGCAGTGGCCCTGACCCGTGCCCAGGAGAAATCAACGTTTTCTTCCACGAACACTGTGCTTTCTCCAGCTCCCCTCCCCTCCCTTCCCTTCCCCCGCAGTGGACTCCTGGGCCCCCAGACTCCGCAGCCACAGTGGGACAAGCCTCTTGGTGGGAGAGGTGGAGGGACGGATAGTGGATGGCCACGACCCCAGGAAGCAGGCCTGAGAGGACAGCAGCTTGAGGGGTGCAGGGTGCTGGCACGCACCAGCGGTCCAAGGGGGGCCCTCGGGGCCTCCAGAGGGGGGGCTTTCCCAGGGCCATTACCAGAGAGGCTTTCCAGGGGGCCCCGCCCACCCTGTGACTGCACGCTGCTCCCCGAGGAGACTCACCAGTAGTCCATGACCAGAATGCAGTTGTCCAGATCGATGAAGGTGAAGGCGCGCTTACAATTGTGATTACTGATGTCAAAGAACTCTGCAGGGGAGACAGAGAAGCCTCGCGGGGTTCTGGGTGGCAATGGGGCAGTCCCACGGCGCTCTCGCAGCTTCTCTGGCCCACTTCATCCTGGTCTCCCCACCATCAGAGGAAGCCTTTCCCAAAGTCAATGCACCAGACAGCTCAGCACTCCCCACAGAATGAAATCTGTCGGGGGAGGTCAGATGCGCAGGCATTCCCTCCCCTGAGGGCAATCAGTTGCCACACTGCTGTCTCATCCCTCCACAGGGGTGGGCCTGCTCCCTGCCTCTGGGGGCAATGGACTACCTCCTTGGACTCTGGGGGCAATGGACAGGCTCCTGTAGGAGGAGTTTGCACCCTACTGATAATGGTTCCTATGGAGACCCAGAGACCACCCCCTAGATCACCCCCTCATTGCTGTGGAACCTATCGTGCAGCCCTTCCCTGTGATGTGTGTCTCTACTTGTAATTAGTGGGCTGGCATGCCCCCAAAAGGTATATAGGCGTGAGTCTGCGATATAGAGCTCTCTGACTCTCTGGGCTCCTTGCTGGGCATTCCCTGATCTCTCCCCTCTCCTCTCCAGTCCCCTCTCCCTTGTTCCCTTGCATCCTTCCCTTCCCCTCTCTCCACGTGGACCACCAAGCTGGGCTGAGGTGAGTGATGCTACCATGTAATGTGTCTAACTGCATTATTGTATCTCTCATGCTCTTGATGACTTTAATATAATACTTATATATCTCAACTGTACAATTGTACTTACTGAACCAGTGAGTTCAAGTAGCAGGTATGGCTGGCACCCCACCCCCCTCTTCGCCAGGAACTGGGTGTTACAACTAAAGCCCCAACAGGAGCCTGCCAGGGCGGGGGACCTGTGGGGACCTGGCATACCACATAAGGGATCCGATCTCCAGTCTAGAAGCAACGGGGTGGGAGGCTTTGGGCAGAGAGGCACTTTCCAAACTCACGCTGGCTGCTCCGGTGAAGAGCAATGGGGAAGCCATTCCTACCGCTGATGGGAGAGGTGGTGCTGGCCTAGACTGCGTGTGGCAAGGGCTAGGGTGTGGAGGCAGGTTGGTGAGGGCCTCTGGTTTATAAACCAGAAGCTGCTCAAGGGTCCTGAGGCACGCAAGCTCTCATTGGCACCACTGTATGCTCACCATCAGGTGGTCCACATCAAGTGGCCTAGCCCTCCCGGCTCTTCTTGTGGCACTGGGCGCTCAGCGGGTCCTCACTGATCGCTGGACAACCTCACACCTAGAAACGCTCCTCGAGGACCCTCACCCATGCTGACGGTTGACCCCACCTATGGAAGGTCGAATGCCTTGGTTCTGATTGCAAGCATGGGCCCAGGGACTCACCGATCTTCTGGTCAGCAGATGAAAGGGCGATCAGATCCATGTTGTGGAGACACACCATGTCAATAACCCACATCTGCTGGTTGTGGGGTCGTAGGATCTGGGTAAGGGGGCCAGAGAAGAGCAGAGGGGAACCAGGTGTGGGAAGCTTGCCCAGGACAGCCCAGCCACGTGGACAAGCTCCCCGGGAATCATCTCCCACCCCACAAGGGAGGCTCCGAACCCAGGCACAACTGGGTGTTGAAGAAATCCCCGAGCCTGAAGCTCGACTGCGGCATCTGTGAAATGGGTTTGCAGACCATCCTCCTTTTGCAGTGCCCTTGGTAGAGCCGTTTGACCAGGTCCATAGAATTCTAAAGGCCCATGGCTCTGACCCAGGGACTCCCTGTCCAAGATGTGTTCACAGGTACTCACGGAAGAGCGCCTCTAGGGGTGGCATGGGGGCTTGCTGGGACCACAGCAGGCTGCAGACAGCCCAGGAGCCGTCGGGGAGGCGGCGGAGACAAACCACATCCCAACGAGAAACTGAGCTATGAGATGAGAATGCAGCTTTCTGCGTATCCATTTTTATGTTCAAAAAGAGAGGGGGGGCGGGACATAGATTCTTGCCCGAGGTGGGAGGGTCAGGGAAAAGAAGAATTTTGGCTTGGGAGGGCACTGAGTTCGAATTGCAGAACAGAGGTGAGGCTTTCTGCTCCTGTAAAGAGTTGCGGTCTGGGACACCCACAGGAGCAGGTCTACTCTGTCCCTTGGGGCCACGACGAGTCAGGGTGGATTTGGCTCTAATTTATCATTTGTCAAGGAACCACAAGAACGGGGAAGGAGCGGATACTAAGGACTCAACGGAAAGTTTAGCAAAGAATGATGGCGACATAGGTACAAACGTGCTTGATACACTTGATGTATGGATTGTTATAAGAGCTGTAAGAGGCCCCAATAAAATGATCTTCTCATTAGAAACAAAAGGGAGAGGCTGCCGTCAGATTAGACGTCGCGTGTCCACAGGAGCTCGGCGCAGAGGCCTGGGAAGCCAAGATGGCGCTTGGGTGCCCTCCAGGCCGTAACTGGTGCCTTATCACTCTCGGAGCGGGGTGTTTTGGCTAGGGGCTGCTGCGAACACCTCTTCTGGCGCCATGGCCCAGCATCGGAATGTTCGCGGCTATAACTTCGATGAAGATTTTGAAGATGATGAGGCCTATGGCCAATCAGTAGATGATGATTATTGGCTTTCTCCACCAACAGCGGCTCAATTTATTGACTCAGGATGTGACAAATCTTCTGCTGTTGAGCCAGGAGACGAATATGACTGTGGAGATCGGAAAGACTCATCCAGTTCCCTTTCAAACCAGCAACTAAGTGCGGTCGGTCAAGCTCGTCTTTACTCATGCCTTGACTGCACGAGAGAGATTCTTGGAGAAGCTGAGCCAGATGAAGTACTGGTCGAAGCAGTTCTCCAAGACAATGTGATGTGCAGAAGGCCATGGCTGTGCTTCGGGAGTCAGATGAATACAGAACCTGAAGGTCAAGAGTGAGGGGCAAGATCTACAGGAAAGATAGCAAAAGGGGGAAAGTCCATCCCTGGCTGAACTGTGTCAGGAACAGAAGGAAATTGCCTGACCCCAAGTGTGCTCCCTCTGCCCTTCACAGCCCGCCCTCAGCCAGTTTCACGGATCTCCGTTGGAGGTCTTGTCAGAGCTCACACACTGGCCCCAGCCTTCAACTGGAATATCCGAATTAACAGGATCCTTATCATCTCTGGCATTTGGTAAAGCTTCTCCTGATACAAGAGACCTTGATAACTTGTC